ACTGCAGGCCTACTTGTTGTTCCTAGAGTATTTAAAAGTAGAATGGGAGGGAGAGCCTTCAGTTTTCAGGCCCCTCTTCTGTGGAACCAGCTTGCAGTTTGTATTTGGGAGACAGACACTATCTAAGCATACAGTTAGGGCTGGAGCAGGTGACCCTGAATCCTCCTTTAGATATGCTGCAATAGGTGTACACTGCTGGGGGATTTCCATGATGCATTAACTATTTATTCTTCAGTCACCTTTGTCACTCAGCATGTGTTAATAGACCTCTCTGCATTGAATCACACTTGTGATTAATCTCTGGCTCTCTTTCATGTCTTTCATCCTGTCTTCCTTTTCTCACCCCAACCGGTTGCAGCAGATGGCCGCCTCTCCCTGAGCCTGGTTCTGCCGGAGGTTTCTTCCTGTTAGAAGGGAGTTTTTCCTTCCCACTATCGCCAAAGTGCTTGCTCATAGGGGGTCGTACGGACTGAAGACTGAAAAACTAGCAAAGGCAAGTTATGTAGTTAAAGTGTCTGAAGAAAAACTGAACAAAGCTGTGGAGTTCTGATTCATCCCACATCACATGGTGAACGGCAATGGGAAGAATAGAACTGTCTTAAATTGCTTATTCAGTTATAAGGGGAACAACCTCAAAGAACTGCTGTTGCCTGGCCCCAGCTGAAGTTCCAGTTTGTTGGAGGTCCTGAGCATTTCACAGAGCATGCAGTTGAAATCAGCAGCAACATCAAAGGTATGTTTCACCAGGTGAGGCTGCTCCCTGAGGACAAGTCCTTGTTACAATTCCTGTGGCGAGGGCTAAAGACAGGGGAACCACCTGGCATCTACACCTGGCAGGTTCTCCCATTTGAAACCACATGGAGTTCCTGTTGTGGCACCTTTGCGCTCCAGAAACGTGTGTTTGACCACAGCCAACCAGGGGAGGATGTCCGCCTGTCTATAGAAAGGTCCTTTTATGTGGACAACTGACTACAAAGTCTCCCTTCCGTGGAAGAAACCCAGAAGTAAACTAACAGCATTGATATATCAGGGGGAGTTTGAGCTGCAGCAATGGGCCAGTAACACCTGAGTTCATCAACCACCAGCTGAGAGAAGCTAAGTCAGAGAGTATGAATTATGGCTCAGTGAAGCAGGTGCTTACCCACGAGAACCCGCACTGGTAATTTGCTGCCTCTGCAACTCAGATGCCTTGAGGTACAAATACCATATTTCCAAACGATCCACCCCCACAATGCGAAATATATATCTAGTCCTAGCACGTCTGCATAACCCACTAGGATTCATTGTCCCATTCACAACATGGGCCAAGACTCTATTACAGCAGCTGTGGGACAGACAAGGAGACTGGGATGACCCCTCACTCGCTGGAGGGGTGCTACAGCAGCGGCAGAACTGGGAGGAGTTACCAAATCTCTCCCAAATATCCATCCCTCATTGCTATATAAGGTCAGAAATGGAGACTTTGAACTTGAAGAGAGAGATCCACGTATTTGCAGATACCTCAGGAGAGGACTTATTGGTCAGTGGTCTACCCGATACTGAAAAAACAAACACCTATGTGGCGGTATCATTCTTGGCAGGTTTGGGGTTGCTCCAAGGAAACAACAGTCAGTGCCCAGACTGGAACTGTGTGCTGCACTAACAGCTGCTCAGTTGGCCATAGTACTACAAAGAGAACTGACAGTGAGTATCTGCAATAAATATCATCTTCTAGACAGACTCCACCACAGTCCTCACAGAGCTCCAGTCTGACTCCAACAACCCAACTGATGATATCACACAAGGAAAAGCTGTGGCAGGTGGAGTCATGGCCCTAAATTCCTGCAGAAAACATCTGAATTCTGGAACACACCAACCATCAGTTGAGAGACAGAAGATCCTATTGAATGATGAAAACCACCATATGTCATTTGAAAGAAGCTGCTAAGATGTCTATGTTCCCAGTTCTCCTCCTTTATTGTCCTGACAGAGGCGGTCGGCCCTGACGGTCCTGTCATGGGGTGGCAGCTCAGAAAGCCAATCTGTCTGCTGAAGACTACCAGGAAGCCGAAAGAGAGTTCAGTCATCTGAGTGCTGGCAAGCCAGTGCCTACCACCAGTAGGTTGCTCCCCCTAGCTCCAGAGTATGATAGTATTAATCAGTATTAATCATCACGTTTTGATTTTATATACTGTTTTGTTTGTTTGTTTGTTTGTCTGTTTGTCTGTTTGTCTGTTTGTTAATTAGTTAGTTAGTTTGTTTGCTTGTTTTAATCAATTTTAAATCATGCTTTTTATTTGTTTTTGTTTCTAATGTCTCTGTAAAGCACTTTGAACCACCTTGTTATTGAATTGTGTTATACAAATAAACTTGCCTTGCCTATTCATTTTAAAGCTCAGGTTTTAAAACATTATGATGTAACTACAGCCCAGCCCATGCAGCAGTATATTAATGATTACCTTATATTGCAGTTGTTCTCATGACTGAAGTTTGGTCCGTTTACATCATCATGACATGCATTTGCATTTGTCCCTAACCATCAGGAACCCTCACATTAACTTTTATCGAGTGGAAAAAAAGTTAGCGTTCATCCTCCAGCTTCACTGTGTTTATGTTATGCTAACATAGCTGTGTAGCTAGCCAGCACACAGAACATCATTAAATATACCAGCTAGCCCAACTTCAGATAGTAACCCTACAAATGCTACTGCTGTTTAGTTTTCTGTCTTCATTTATTTTGGAAGTGATAGCAGAGCTGTACGTTTTAATTTTTGCTGTTTGCGATTAAGCTGCTGGATTTTTGGCTTCACGACCCTCCTTTGTAGTTCATGTACGTCAAAGCTCTTCGTGGCGTTTCAGTTGACGACACGAAATGTGGTGGCCTTGCTGGATCCGCTGTCCACCCACCATGTGATGACACCGCTCTCAATACACCGCTGCTGCGGCGCTACTCCCTCTCTCACATAGAGCTGGCTCATCGATATTGGCTGGGATCGCGGCACCGCAGAAAAGGGCAGTGTTTTTACCATCAGCGGGACAGCGCAGTGGCGTCTTTGCAGTTTTAAGTCCCAGGGAAACGAGCCCGCCAGCTCTATGTAGTGGCCGTGACCACTGGTGATAAGGAAAGACTGCTTTTCATAGAAGACTCACGCTTGGGGAGACGTTTTCTGGTTTACTCCATCTCCCAGAAGAGCGTTGGGAATTCTTGTGTCGTCTTTGCATACCTCCCCAATGGTATATTATTTAATCCAAATTTTTTTTTTGAGATTTCCCGCGTACCACCAAAGAGAGCCCAAGTACCACGCGTACCACCGTTTGAGAAAAACTGCACTAGATCAACTGACTCTGAATCTTCCCTTAATTATGCTGCAGTAGGTCCAGGCTGTTAGGGTTTCCCATTATGCAATAGGCACTTCTTCACTCACCAGTTTTCATGATCTGTGTGTTTAAAAACCATTTTGCAGTACACCAATAGTTATTATTGATCTCTGGCTGTCTTTTTTTCCAGTAAACAGTAAACCCCATTTGAAATAGCAATGAAAATGAACTAACAAGTTTAAAATTAGGCAGTATTCAGTAAAATTTAGCTTACCAACATGTCCTTGACTACTCTTCTGAATCATATTTAGTTGATGTAAGATTGGCGAACTTGAGGCTCCTCCATAGTACAGGATCCAGTGGGCGAAGGTTTTGTCAGTCCTACAGAGATGACACACACACATACACACATGTATATTTCATATATATATATATATACAGTGGGGCA